CTGCTAACCTGATTGCCTCCGCTGGTATGCCATCTGGGCCTGGAGCCGATTATTATTATTATTATTATTATTATTATTATTATTATTATTATTGGTTTATAAAACATATTCTGAGCGTTCAGAATATATGAGTCTGAAAGGAGTCCTAGGTGGGTAAGAAATATGAGCTTCAAAAACAAAAAATGTGTGACTCTTATATGAATATTTTAGGAGTTATAAATGATCGAAGTTAGGAGCCAGCACTTTGTGGCTATATAAAAACAATAAAGATTCGAAATTTATATCTAAACTTGTTTATACAGAAATTAAAAATATTTAGAAAACAAAAAATATACAAAATTTAGCTGCAGCTGCTGCTATTAAATGTATGTTGGAATGTTTATATGAACTGAGGTATGTATACATACATGTGTATAGTATTTTAAGTTCAATAAGAGTTGAAAAATAAGGCCAATATGGCTCAAAGGACAACATAAAATAAGAGTCCGAATGTAGTTATTTATGAGGACTATAAGACACATTTAAGAGCCTCAAAAAACTCTGAAACGATTCATTCATGAGGCCAAAAATTGCTTTAAAAGGAGTACAAAATGAGCCGTTTATGAAGCCAATAAGAGTCCAATATGACTCATTTGGAGGCTCATTTGATGTATGAAAAGCTCATATAAGTCGACCTTCGGAGGAAGGAAAACACACTAATTTCGGGCTCTTAAATGAGCTCATTATGAGCGTAAAGGGTCCGAAATGGGACTCCTTAAAGACTCATTTATGACTCCAGATGTATATTTCATTGATATGTACATATCTCTCGCTCATAGGGAAAGCACTTATTGAATTTTGTAAAAGTATAAACAGTAACAAATCGCTTAACGAAATTCGTTGGAAGAAAGTTCGCTGCCAAAATTAAAACACACTGCAGTATATGAGATTGCCCACAACCAAAGTGGCGACGAAGTCAGGGTTGCCGTTTTGGGCTTTTCCTACCAAAATTGGTAGGTGTTTTTCTCGTCGGTAGGATGGTAGGACGCTAAAAATTTTGGTAGGTTTCTTTGCTTATAAAACAGAAAACATCCCTGGCTTGTTGTAATGTGTCACTTTGTCAGCACTGTGAGTAGGCTTTCCAAATTTTGACAATATTAATTTTTTATATATGGGCAGAATTCTACCAATTACCTTCAGAAATTATCTGAACTCTATA